AGCAGGCTACCTGTATGTTGGTAGAGTGGTTACATCAGGCTACATGTATGTTGGTAGAGTGGTTACAGCAGGCAGGCTATATGTATGTTGGTAGAGTGGTTACAACAGGCTACATGTATGTTGGTAGAGTGGTTACATCAGGCTACATGTATGTTGGTAGGGTGGTTACATCAGGCTACATGTATGTTGGTAGAGTGGTTACATCAGGCTACATGTATGTTGGTAGAGTGGTTACATCAGGCTACATGTATGTTGGTAGGGTGGTTACATCAGGCTACATGTATGTTGGTAGAGTGGTTACATCAGGCTACATGTATGTTGGTAGGGTGGTTACATCAGGCAGGCTACGTGTATGTTGGTAGAGTGGTTACATCAGGCTACATGTATGTTGGTAGGGTGGTTACATCAACATCAGGCTACATGTATGTTGGTAGGGTGGTTACATCAGGCTACATGTATGTTGGTAGAGTGGTTACATCAGGCTACATGTATGTTGGTAGGGTGGTTACATCAGGCAGGCTACGTGTATGTTGGTAGAGTGGTTACATCAGGCTACATGTATGTTGGTAGGGTGGTTACATCAGGCAGGCTACGTGTATGTTGGTAGAGTGGTTACATCAGGCTACATGTATGTTGGTAGGGTGGTTACATCAGGCAGGCTACGTGTATGTTGGTAGAGTGGTTACATCAGGCTACATGTATGTTGGTAGAGTGGTTACATCAGGCTACATGTATGTTGGTAGGGTGGTTACATCAGGCTACATGTATGTTGGTAGGGTGGTTACATCAGGCTACATGTATGTTGGTAGGGTGGTTACATCAGGCTACATGTATGTTGGTAGGGTGGTTACATCAGGCTACGTGTATGTTGGTAGGGTGGTTACATCAGGCAGGCTACATGTATGTTGGTAGAGTGGTTACATCAGGCTACATGTATGTTGGTAGGGTGGTTACATCAGGCTACATGTATGTTGGTAGGGTGGTTACATCAGGCTACGTGTATGTTGGTAGAGTGGTTACATCAGGCTACATGTATGTTGGTAGAGTGGTTACATCAGGCTACATGTATGTTGGTAGAGTGGTTACATCAGGCTACATGTATGTTGGTAGGGTGGTTACATCAGGCAGGCTACGTGTATGTTGGTAGAGTGGTTACATCAGGCTACATGTATGTTGGTAGGGTGGTTACATCAACATCAGGCTACATGTATGTTGGTAGGGTGGTTACATCAGGCTACATGTATGTTGGTAGAGTGGTTACATCAGGCTACATGTATGTTGGTAGGGTGGTTACATCAGGCAGGCTACGTGTATGTTGGTAGAGTGGTTACATCAGGCTACATGTATGTTGGTAGGGTGGTTACATCAGGCAGGCTACGTGTATGTTGGTAGAGTGGTTACATCAGGCTACATGTATGTTGGTAGGGTGGTTACAGAAGGCTGGCTACGTGTATGTTGGTAGAGTGGTTACATCAGGCAGGCTACATGTATGTTGGTAGAGTGTTTACATCAGGCTACATGTATGTTGGTAGGGTGGTTACATCAGGCTACATGTATGTTGGTAGGGTGGTTACATCAGGCTACATGTATGTTGGTAGGGTGGTTACATCAGGCTACATGTATGTTGGTAGGGTGGTTACATCAGGCTACATGTATGTTGGTAGGGTGGTTACAGCAGGCTACATGTATGTTGGTAGAGTGGTTACAACAGGCTACATGTATGTTGGTAGAGTGGTTACATCAGACTACATGTATGTTGGTAGGGTGGTTACAGTAGGCTACATGTATGTTGGTAGAGTGGTTACAGTAGGCTACATGTATGTTGGTAGAGTGGTTACATCAGGCTACATGTATGTTGGTAGGGTGGTTACATCAGGCTACATGTATGTTGGTAGGGTGGTTACAGCAGGCAGGCTATATGTATGTTGGTAGGGTGGTTACATCAGGCTACATGTATGTTGGTAGAGTGGTTACATCAGGCTACATGTATGTTGGTAGAGTGGTTACATCAGACTATATGTATGTTGGTAGGGTGGTTACATCAGGCTACATGTATGTTGGTAGAGTGGTTACATCAGGCTACATGTATGTTGGTAGAGTGGTTACATCAGACTATATGTATGTTGGTAGGGTGGTTACATCAGGCTACATGTATGTTGGTAGGGTGGTTACAGCAGGCAGGCTATATGTATGTTGGTAGAGTGGTTACATCAGGCTACATGTATGTTGGTAGAGTGGTTACAGCAGGCTACGTGTATGTTGGTAGAGTGGTTACATCAGGCTACATGTATGTTGGTAGGGTGGTTACAACAGGCTACGTGTATGTTGGTAGAGTGGTTACATCAGGCTACATGTATGTTGGTAGGGTGGTTACATCAGGCAGGCTACGTGTATGTTGGTAGAGTGGTTACATCAGGCTACATGTATGTTGGTAGGGTGGTTACATCAGGCAGGCTACGTGTATGTTGGTAGAGTGGTTACATCAGGCTACATGTATGTTGGTAGGGTGGTTACATCAGGCTACATGTATGTTGGTAGGGTGGTTACATCAGGCAGGCTACATGTATGTTGGTAGAGTGGTTACATCAGGCTACATGTATGTTGGTAGGGTGGTTACATCAGGCTACATGTATGTTGGTAGGGTGGTTACATCAGACTATATGTATGTTGGTAGGGTGGTTACATCAGGCAGGCTACATGTATGTTGGTAGGGTGGTTACATCAGGCTACATGTATGTTGGTAGAGTGGTTACATCAGGCTACATGTATGTTGGTAGAGTGGTTACATCAGGCTACATGTATGTTGGTAGAGTGGTTACATCAGGCTACATGTATGTTGGTAGGGTGGTTACATCAGACTATATGTATGTTGGTAGGGTGGTTACATCAGGCAGGCTATGTGTATGTTGGTAGAGTGGTTACATCAGGCTACATGTATGTTGGTAGGGTGGTTACATCAGGCTACATGTATGTTGGTAGAGTGGTTACATCAGGCTACATGTATGTTGGTAGAGTGGTTACATCAGGCTACATGTATGTTGGTAGAGTGGTTACATCAGGCTACGTGTATGTTGGTAGAGTGGTTACATCAGGCTACATGTATGTTGGTAGGGTGGTTACATCAGGCTACATGTATGTTGGTAGGGTGGTTACATCAGGCTACATGTATGTTGGTAGAGTGGTTACATCAGGCTATATGTATGTTGGTAGGGTGGTTACAGCAGGCAGGCTACATGTATGTTGGTAGAGTGGTTACATCAGGCTACATGTATGTTGGTAGAGTGGTTACATCAGGCTACATGTATGTTGGTAGAGTGGTTACATCAGGCAGGCTACATGTATGTTGGTAGAGTGGTTACATCAGGCTACATGTATGTTGGTAGAGTGGTTACATCAGGCTACATGTATGTTGGTAGGGTGGTTACATCAGGCTACGTGTATGTTGGTAGAGTGGTTACATCAGGCTACATGTATGTTGGTAGAGTGGTTACATCAGGCTACATGTATGTTGGTAGAGTGGTTACAGCAGGCTACCTGTATGTTGGTAGAGTGGTTACATCAGGCTACATGTATGTTGGTAGAGTGGTTACAGCAGGCAGGCTATATGTATGTTGGTAGAGTGGTTACAACAGGCTACATGTATGTTGGTAGAGTGGTTACATCAGGCTACATGTATGTTGGTAGGGTGGTTACATCAGGCTACATGTATGTTGGTAGAGTGGTTACATCAGGCTACATGTATGTTGGTAGAGTGGTTACATCAGGCAGGCTACATGTATGTTGGTAGAGTGGTTACATCAGGCTACATGTATGTTGGTAGAGTGGTTACATCAGGCTACATGTATGTTGGTAGAGTGGTTACATCAGGCTACGTGTATGTTGGTAGAGTGGTTACATCAGGCTACATGTATGTTGGTAGAGTGGTTACATCAGGCTACATGTATGTTGGTAGAGTGGTTACAGCAGGCTACCTGTATGTTGGTAGAGTGGTTACATCAGGCTACATGTATGTTGGTAGAGTGGTTACAGCAGGCAGGCTATATGTATGTTGGTAGAGTGGTTACAACAGGCTACATGTATGTTGGTAGAGTGGTTACATCAGGCTACATGTATGTTGGTAGGGTGGTTACATCAGGCTACATGTATGTTGGTAGAGTGGTTACATCAGGCTACATGTATGTTGGTAGAGTGGTTACATCAGGCTACATGTATGTTGGTAGGGTGGTTACAGCAGGCTACTTGTATGTTGGTAGGGTGGTTACAACAGGCTACATGTATGTTGGTAGGGTGGTTACATCAGGCTACATGTATGTTGGTAGGGTGGTTACATCAGGCTACATGTATGTTGGTAGAGTGGTTACATCAGGCAGGCTACATGTATGTTGGTAGAGTGGTTACAACAGGCTACATGTATGTTGGTAGAGTGGTTACATCAGGCTACATGTATGTTGGTAGGGTGGTTACAGCAGGCTACTTGTATGTCATCACATTATTTTATCACAACTATCATCACGTTATTTTATCACTTATCATCACATTATTTTGTCACACCTATCATCACTTTATTTTGTCTTACTATCATTACCTTATTTTGAGATGAACTTATACGATTACTATGGAAACGGGTTACGAGTTAAATATAAAATTAACCAACTAATCCCATGTTGCTTAACCCGTAAATCGATGAGAGGTCAAAGAAAATGTACAGTCTTTGGTATTGTAATAAATACATGCAAAGAGGCCACTAGTACTTGTATAAGAAGTATTCCCAGTGCTATGGCATGGAAGTGAGTCGACATTACCTATGCTTCTTTAGATCTACCCTTGACCTACTTTCTATTCACCGCAGACTGATAAACTACAAGTGCAACATAATTTTCTGGTAAAAGTAAAGATTATTCTAAGACAAAAGATGAGACCACCTCATCTAGCGGGCTTTCCCCTAAATATGACCAGCTTTACGGGAAAACCCGAGCCGGCAATAAATGACGAAAACGTGGCCAGCCCACGCCACTGTGGGTGTATAAATACACAACGCAGCATCCAAAAGCAGCCAAATACATTTTCGCCGTGTCCAGCACCTGTATAGCTTTCGCGTGATAATAGGCTACAGACCAGCACTCATCATACAGGCAGGCACCTGACGTGTGGCAGACTACAGGCAGGCACCTTACGACGTGTGGCAGACTACAGGCAGGCACCTGACGACGTGTGGTAGACTACAGGCCAGCAGAAGTTGGTGAGTACTACAGGTCCAGTTTTGATAAGTACATCTATAGATCTAATTTGAATATAAAAGTTCATTTTTTCATATTCTAAAATTGGAAGATGACGCCCATTAGTTTTGTGTACTTTCCGTAGTTTAAACATGTTTCATGTGACGTAATTGTTTATTGCGTTCTTGGCACAACCATAAACACTTTTCTGGTGGCATAAAAATGTTTCTACATTCGAATATGCCTCAATTTTCATTTCCCCTCTTTAAATAAAATTTAGTTTATACATTAAAAACATCTAACATATTTTCAACTAAAGTCCGTTTCTTTAAGTTCTCCATATATCGCTGAACATACTGATCACATATCCTCAAAAATGGTGCGGACAGAGAGAAGTGCGCACATGAGTTTTTATATAGGCCCTATTAGGATGTCCAGCTCCAAGTTTTAAAACTAAGTTCAACATTTACATTCCTCACTTGGATTTTAAAAAATTGACCACAACTATTGTAATCAGACTTTTTTCTCTGATGCACTCTAGCAAAATTCAAATCTGTTGAAATAAACTAGCACTTGCATTATAGATGGCTGCTTGCGAGAGGGCCTGTAGTGTGATACACATCTCAACTGTCACATTATAACAGCTGATCCGTAAATAAATGAACAACTATTTAGAACATTGTTTCAGGGTGTTACTGTTAAATCAGTTTAACAACTGTTTATTTACAGATCACCAAGATGGCCACATTAAAAGAACGGTGGATGGAGTTTGTAAGAAAACAATCTGAGAAGACTGCCAGAGATCCAAACTCCAAGGCAAAGGTCATGGCGGGTGTGGTCATCTTACTATTGATCTGGACACAGATACCTAAAGCCCAAGGCTCTGCCATCGCCTGTGGACCTTGTGTAACCTGGGCGGCCCAATGGTGTGCAGGCTTTATAACAGCAGGGGGAGCGTGTGCCACAGTAGCATTTGTTCCCCCAGCTCTCTGTGCCTGTCTCTTGGCAGCGGGAGGGTGGATCTGTGTTGGAGCAGCAACAACGTGTGCCGTTGTCTGCCTTGCTCCTACACCATAAACAATACACAATTTGACATCATTATAAAAGTACCATTTTTAGCGCAATTTCCATACGGACAATGGCGATTATTAACTCGTCATTTCTGGATGTACGGATGAATGAATGGATGTGTTGTCTGCAGCTTTAAGTGGTATCTCCTCCTCATCGAAGCAATATCGAGGACTAGTTCCAAAGCAAAAATGTTAAGCCAGTTCCAAGGATGATTGTGGGCCAAAAAAATTCCTGGAATTCCTTCCTGGATTTCCCGGAAAAGCCAAAAAACCTCGAACAAATGCAGTTTTTCGCCCATATCTCGGCAACCAGACCACTTAGCGACTTGAAACATTTACCATAATTTCTGCCATAATTTAGAACAATATTGCCGAAGAAAGTTTTCAAAAATATCCTTTCGTTCGGTCACATAAAATTAATTAAGAAATTTTAAACTGAGCATCGTGTAGGCCTAGGATGATATTTTTATTTGTGCTTAGTTTCTTAGAACTTTTAACTAGTATCATATGTTTAAATAGAGCCACGCTGTTGTTGTGACGCTAGTAGAAATAAAAATGTTAAACATGATTGTTTTCTTTAGCGTTATTGGCATACACCAATGTATATCTTACCGTTATTGGCATACACCAATGTATATCTTACCGTTATTGGCATACACCAATGTATATCTTACCGTTATTGGCATACACCAATGTATATCTTACCGTTATTGGCATACACCAATGTATATCGTACCGTTATTGGCATACACCAATGTATATCTTACCGTTATAAATAATATTTTCAAGAATAGTTAGGTGCAAATTAAATAATGTAGGTGCAAGAGATATTGAATGTAAGTATGACATGTATAAAAGATTGTGAGGTTTGACGTAGAATGTGTTGCTGTGGGGTGCTAGTAAGTTAGTTTTGATCTTTTGATGTACCCCACAATAAATGTGTCGTACTCACCAAGATCAAAATATGCACCCACATTGTGTGGTAACCTACAAGATCAAAATGTGCTCCCACAGTAAATGAGTGATGACCTACAAGATCAAAATATGCCCCCACAGTAACTGAGTGATGACCTACAAGACAAAAAATGACTCCCACAACAAATGAGATGTGAGCTAACCCTAAGGAAGAGATACGACTCTTTGACCTATTCACGCATTTACAATTAATTTGTAGCACTGTTTGAACAAAGCAAAGGCTACGAGTATGACAACTTAAAAACTTAACGCTAGGTAGATTAAGAAAGAAATAAAGTGTTATAGTTATAATCAAACGATTTAAATGTCTTGCTCTTTGTGCCCAATAGAAGAACCGCTGTAACCAGAGTATAGCTAGTGGTCTATATTTAGACACGACCTCCATCTATGTCAGTAGAGTTGTTTACTATGCAATCTGCAATACGTATGGAAACACGAAAGTCTGTTGAAAATATTTAATGGGGGGATCTTTTAAGAAATATTCTAGGTTCAGACCAGCAGAAAAGGTGCTACTGGACAGGGGAGGGGGAAGGTGAGAGAACTCGAAAGTTGCATGAGCCCACTTCGTGATGTTAGTATTGTTTCAAAGATCATGGCGGGTGTGGTCATCTTACTATTGATCTGGACACAGATACCTAAATCCCAAGGCTCGTTTATAGCATGCGGACCTTGTGTAGCCTGGGCGGCCAAGTTTTGTACAGGACTTATTGCAGCAGGGGGAGCCTGTGCCGCAGTAGCAGCTTTTCCACCAGCCCTCTGTGCCTGTCTCTTGGCTTCTGGAGGGGCAGTCTGTGCTGGAGCAGCAATAACATGTGCAGTTGTCTGCTGTGTCCCCACACCATAAACATCCCACTTCAGCTTAATACTGAGTTGAAGTAGTCAACCTAGTAACTTAACATCTCACTATGACTTCAGTTAAAGGGCAGCCATGTTTTAACTACCTATGCAATATTTTAATCAAAAAGCCATTACCAGCATGTTAAATTTCTGAGCAGAGTTGTATATATAAAATGTCAATAAAACAAGTGCCCAGGAAAAGTACTGATTTGTTAACACATGTAAAATTAAAATATATAGTTAATTATAATTACTAACATTAAATTGACATTTATTTTAGGCAATTGAGCTATATTTATATTGAACTTTCTCTAGCCAAATTGACAGAAAATCACTTTTCAAGTTTGCCTTCTCCAATCTACCTAAAATTATCATAATCAAAATAATTGGTTAAAATGATGTAACTATTTTGTTTCCAACATTGGACTTATGTAATCTGTTCATGATCTAATTGCTTATGTTTTCAATAAATAATAAAACTATTATTAATATGGTAGTGCATAATAGTGAGTTAATTACTTATTAAAGAATAATAATGTAATGTACTAATTTAGGTCTGCTCTAGTTGAGTAGACTAATATAGGCCACTAGTACAGAAAAAATTGGAGCCAAAAAAAAAAAAAAAAGATGAATTCAGCAGGCTGTAACCACATCATTCACTGTTTATGATTATATAGCTGAGAAACGGGTCTGCAATAAAACAAAATTGCCGGTATCCCCCCCCCTTCAAGACACTGAGGCCATAATAGTCTAGACTTCAGTGAGCCTATTTAATAAGCCATAGCATGAATTGTGATTTGACTTATACCCCACCCCCCCTCCTTACCCAGCAGTACCATTTACGTACTTGGGGTCGCGGTGAGTTCATACAAGTGACCGTAGTTACAAGGAGGGGCGGGGTAGTCTAGCTTTAATGGTCAGCATTTGCAAAGATTTCAAAAACAGTTTAACGGAAGGTGGTTTAAAATTAAAGGGGCATCCATTTATGACGTCCACAAGTTACACTTAACATCAAAGTGATTACATTCTAAAACAAGTATTAAACTCGTATCCTGCCTGTAGAAAGTTAAATTAAGGCAACTGTGCTGGTATACCACTCACGCACCTCCCCCTAATTTTGTGTTATGACTGCCTGCAACTAAACTTTAACAATGAAAAATAGCGGTTAAAATCGGGAGCCTAACAATTATGAGGGCTATCATTCTCTCATTAAATGATCATTTTAAATACTCTTTAACAGATTCATGCGGTCAGTGGCGCCACAAAATATCCCCCCCCCCCCAATGACATAACTGAGCATGTTTTTTTTTCTGAACCAGCGAAAAACACATAGTAGACCCGCACAAGGGAATAAAAATGGAGTCAATTCCCTTAAAAATATCATTTTTTAAAGTTTGCAAATATGGACTTAGAAGTTTTGTTTCTAAAACTAGCGATTTTCCAGACTTTGTAAAGTCTGAAATTCACTAAATTCAAGACTTTTTCCAGACTGCGTATGAACCCTGACTAAGAAATTTGCAGGCCACTTACTGAGAAAGATACTGAAATAAAAACAAACTAATAGCCAAGAACACCCATAAATTCTATCATTATACTTGCCAGATTTAAACCAAAAGCACAGTAAAAGAAAAAAAGAAGGAAGTAGAGTGACATTGATTTATTCAATGAAATGGCCATACAAGATATTAACACACTACTGCCCACCAGATGCACCACCAAAACCACCACGTCCTCTTCCAAATCCTCCTCTCTGAAAAGATAATAAAGGAGAGAATTTAAACTCCATAGCCAAACAGCCACTTATATCTGCGTTTTAGGAAACAAAATCAGCCAACAGCTAAAAAAGCGAAAGATAATACTTACAAACTCAAACTTTTCAGATCCAGCGCCAACTTCTGACTTCTTATCTGTTCCAGCTAGAAAAAAAATAATTCCAACACTGAACATGAACAGCCCTAACCAAAAAAAAAAAAATCGATAAATACACTAAAACAAAGTCTGACCTGGTCCAGCTTTACGGTATTCCTGACGATCAGTAGCACCGCCACCACGTGGGCCTTCGGATGCTGAAATAAGAAAAAAGGTTAAAGGAAACATTAAACACAGTAGATTTAGGGTTAATCAAGATGATACCCATAAATCCATTCGAGGGGGATTCAATGAAGATGAACACCATAAATCTAACTACTGCCTGTCATGACATTGGGTGGGGAGGAAATGTAACAGAAGATTAGTTTGAAAATAAATGCAAGAAAATACAACTAAATATAAATTGAAGTTTTAAACTGAGACCGGGAACAGAAAAGCACCACAAGAACCCCTAACTAATTTACTACTGATAACAAATCTGATCATAACACAAGGCTACAGTTTAATCAGAAAGGTATAGTCGTAAGTCTGAAACCAGAAAGGAATAATCTTAAAATTACAGGAAAAACATTCATGCTACAATGACAAAAAGATGTGAAAAATAACAAAAACAACAACCTAAAACAAATGTCAAGAACAAGACATGGTGGTTGAATATGCACCAGCCAAAAACTAAGAGAAGTTGAAGTAGCTGTTATTTGTCTAGTAATCCTTTATACAAGCCATTCGAAAAGAATAGATGACCTAAATGATTAACTCTTTAAGCCTGTAAGTATTTACACGTTTTTTCTCTCTCAGGTTAATTTTATAATGTGGTGACGTAAACGGTCAGACGCGGCAGCTGAACAGCATTCTGCAGTGTTATAAAAAAAAAAAAATTACGTCCTGAAAGGTGTTCTACAACAACAAAAAAAAAAAAAAAAAAAAGAATTATGGCAGCTCTAGCGTTATCATGACCTAGATTTATGATTAAAATCTTGGACTAAGAAAAAGTGTAGTTTCAGTCTTAAAGAGTTAAACAATGTCATAAGAAAAAAAAGCAAGATTTTAACCACCTGAACTTGCAGAAAATGTGCAAGAATAAATCAAAGTGAACTGCAGTGAGACCAGTAATATTAAGCCAAAGTCAAGCTTAACTTAATCAGTGGTCAGTTAACTTTTAGAAAGCGGAATTACACTTAACTACCATCAATCAAAGACATAACAGCCTTACTAAGAAAAATCCTAAACTAACGGCGACATTTCTTCTCACAGTACCAGGTGTGTAACACATCTCAATTTTCTAAATAACTGTAACATGCACGGTTGAAAAATTATTAGGAACAAATTTCACGAACTGTCATAATGCCCGACCAAACGCAGTTAACCCACTTCCTTTGGTGTTGCTGCGGCATCCAAAATCATGATGAAAAATGCAAATGAATTATACATTGATTAATGGAAAAAAGAGAAGTTTCCTTCCTGTATTAAGAATGGGGTCACCTACTGTCTGTGCTTCTATTACAATAGCCAAAGTCCACACTTACAAAACAATTAGCACCTGACACAGCAAGGCGTTGGGGACGCAAAGAAAAACAATCGATTCACCATGTTACACCAGCGCAATCACTAAATCACCTTTTTGTTCGTTGAAAAATAAGACAGTCGGAAAAGCTGCACTTCCTAAATTCAATGCCAGAACTTTAGTTAAGACCAGACCAAAACATAGTTTTATTTCTAAATATACAACTAAATACCACTCTTTCCAGACTGTGTAAGAGCTCTGACTATTGAGTGGGAAACACAAAAAAAAAAAAAAAAAAAAAAAAAAAAAAAAAAAAAAAAAAAAAAAAAAAAAAAAAAAATCCATGGTTCTACATATGTAAAATAGTTATAGACAAATGAATCACACCATAGAACGAATACTGCAATCCATTTTTAATTTAAAACACTTTAAAAACGTACGTTTTTTTCTATATAAAAAAAAAAAAAGCAATAGGACCCTATCTAAAATGTATCAAGTTTTGCTTTTAATTACTTGTTAACAATAAAACTCAAAACTAAACAGGGCACTCTTACCCTTTAAGATTTAAGTTATAAAGAGTGGGGAGCTTTTAAATTCAACAGGTGAACAACAAGAATCAACCAACCTTTAGGTCTGGGCCTAGGTGCCTCTGGGCGCTGTTGTCTCTTTAATGTGGCAGGAACAATTTCAGCAGGTAAGTGCAAGAAGTCCCTTAGGTACTGAATACCTTCATTTGTCAAATACCAGTAGTAATGACGCCATGCGAACTGTTCACGAACAAATCCTTTAGACTTGAGACTCTGTAATATTAAAAAAAATATAGACCCTAATACAGAAATATTAGTCATGTTACACACACAGAGTAAGGCATACTACTTTAGCATTTGTTAGCTCCATGAATAAATATTAAGACAGAGAAATTTGTGCAACTGGCCACATCAAGAGATCAATTTGTTGAAGGGTTGGTAGTTTCAACATTTGATTAACATACCTATACAAGAAATAAAAATCTTACTGTTAGTGCTTTCATCACATGCAAATTTGGAACTTCAATTTCTGGATGCTTAGCAGCAAAGGGGTCTTTCTTTGCAACAAGAACACCTTCTTTGAAGAGGTATTCATAGATGGCGACCTTGTTCTTTTTTGGAATAAGCATTTTGATGCTGTAAAATAAAAGACACAAACGTCACATAACTGTATGATTAAAACCTAGGATTTTAAATATTTAAGCCAACTTAAATTAAATGGGTAGGCCTAGGGTTAGTATCAGAAAATTATACCCAAGCAGCGGCCACCCCTATTCACCTCTCAGGTTGCTTTATTAGCCTTATCTATTGTATGTACAGTGTCCCGCACATATTGTAAAAGGTATTTATTAGTATTTCTCGCTAACTTGGAGGTGTGGTCGGTTGCTAACAACAATATGGCGCCCGGACCGGACGCTTGACTTCCGACGATTTTTCAGCCAAATTCTAGAGACCTTCTACTAATTAGTTTTTAAAATGTTTACCACTCGCAAAATGGCGGGACTTTCACGTTATAACAACAAGCTATAGGTGGCAGGGCTATATATGCCAGAAAAGCATTTTAATATTTGCGTTAGAGAATGAAGGCTAAATTTAAAAGTTGGTTTCTTCAAAAATACTAGAACTTTTTAAATATAGATTTCCATATTACAAAATTGATTTCCATAGTAAAGCATTATTAGTTTTATCAGTCTATGAAAAAATAAATATCATCAACCGTTTTTTATAAGACCAGCCACAAAAATGACAACCAAATTTTTTTTTGAAAAATAAACCACGTGACCACTATTTGGAGATCACTAGTGAGGAACTCTTGTGCATGGCCACTTAAAAAGTCTAACCTGATTTGTGGTTTTCTTTACCTTCAAGGGTTAGAAGAGTTGTCACGGAGAGATGTGTTGGACATGGCAAGTGATTGACAATAAATATTAAATTAAGTAATTTAGTTTAAAACGAACTAAAAACTCCAAAGTTAGTGTCTAATGGATTAAATATGGATGTCTATTATTCAGTGGACATGTTTAAATTGATAATTGCGTAAATTCTAGATTTAGTGAGAAAAACTAGTATTTATAGTTAATCTAGTTTTAAAAAGCATTGACTGGTTGGTTTTATTTGTCTCATCCGGGACCTAGAGGAGCTTACACTTTTCGGACACACATAGCGAAAAAACGCAACGTAAAAATTCCATGCGGTCTCATTAAGTAACCGCTTAACATAGAAAACAAAAAAAAGTATCATATCTATCCGCAACCATTCTACTTTAATAATGTGTGTGTCATTTTGTATTCATACGCATAGAACTTAAGCTATTCTTGTTATAGTGACTGGGGGGTCTTAACGTGTGTTCGAACACATGTAATACAGTTTTACATGTGTTCGGACACTTTTACCCGTCATCGGGCACTTTTTGTTCATTTAGAATAATTTAAAGTCAATTTAATGAATAAAAACATATATTATATGCATGTATATTGTGTTATTGATTGTTTGTGAGGTAATTTTAATAGTATAAAACCTTTTTCCCACACTCCCAAAGTTCATCCCATTCAGCCATTGCGGCTCGCGCAGTACGCTGCTAAGCCAGCCAGGTCACATGATTCCCCCTCCTCTTTCGCATTCCACAGCCTTCTTGACCTTATTTTGACCCTTTCCTTTCAATAACCAGCCCCTTTTATGCTCTAAATTCTTATTTAGTAATATTTTTGTGTTGCTGTCCGCTCCCATGTAAGGCCAAATAAGTTAGCGAACACCCCTTTTTTATTGTTCAAGCACAAAAAAACCCATTAACCTTGACATTTACGATGTTCCATACATATATAGAAGCTATTTATAGTGTAACCTTTTAGCTAAGCATTGATTGGTTCAAGTTTTGCCCCTAAGTCCAACCCTAGGTCACTTCATCCGGCTGGTGTAAAAATAGAAATGTGCGTACCATGCAACGTTAAAAAATTTCTAAAAATAATTCTTGAGAAAGGAAACGGAAGTACTTGACACGGAAGTGTTCATAAATGAACAGTTTACGTGCAGGCGCCGTGGTTTCGCGTGAGACATGCTAATTAAAGTTTCTATGAGCCAAAAAACCGACGAAGTGTTCGCTCCTACGTAATTTTTGGTGTGTGTCCGAAAAGTGTAAACTCCTAGAGTGCTTTTCATAGGGGAACTACGACGTAGTATCTCAAAAACTAGTCTTCTAGAACAGGGGTCTCCAAACTACGGCCCTCGGGCCGGATGCGGCCCGTGAGGTCCTCTCATCCGGCCCTCGGAGATCTTTTTGACCACCGAAAAAAAGTGTTTGTTGTAGGTGGCTGAAGAAAAATGCCACCCCAATGAGATGCCTGGAAGAAACTCTGGCCCCCGAACTTACATTTTGATAGTTAATGCGGCCCTCGGGCTGAAAAGTTTGGAGACCCCTGTTCTAGAAGGAGAAAAAAGAATTTAACCTGGATATATTTAGAAATGGACATGTGTACAGCAGATATCGGTAGTTTCGTATAAAATATCCACGAAGTGATTAACAGGGAATGGTTGCACCATTGTTTTAACCGCGCTTGGAACTTCACTCTAGACACAAATATCAAGCATTAAAACTCTGCCTGAATTTCTACAACGCGAGCGAGCCGTCACTGAGCACAGCCTATGGCCTATGAGTGACAATGTTTGGAATGCATTTCTCGCTCACATGAGATGAAATTTAATCCAACGACGGTTTTTAAAATAAAAACAAATGGATATTTCGCTCAAAGTACATGTTTGGTGATAATACTTGACTCGCAATATAGATCTATAGCCTAAATCTAGAAGCTATTCATGAGATTCTAGGTCTCTAGATCTACTTTTAACGAGCAGTGCATAAACAAACAAAATTGAAAATAATAACTGAAATACGTTTGAGGTTAACTAGAAATATCTAAACGGTTAGAAAGACTAAAACTAGTTTTCGACCTTCCAAACAATTTGGACTATCTACCTGACGTTTAAAAAAATAAAACAACAGCTTATTTATATTCTATAACGACGATTGAAGTAGATTTTAATAACTAATTCAGGAATACATACCCTTTCGCTTTGGCGATAAACTAAGAAAAGGAAAACCGGAAATGTATTTTCATTGAAGAGCTATTTCGGTACTTTAAAAAAAATATGATAGTAGATACGAAATAATAAAAAGTACTAAAAGGCATAGGCCTTAAGAAACCTTAACATTTCGACTAAACTTGTAAAAAACGTATTTTACAGAAGTATTTTGTTAGTATATTCTATTTATTAAGAATAATGCTGCGATATAATAATTTTTAAAGAAACTGTACTTCTACTTAATTAGCTTATGTACTTCAGATGATTTTTTAAATCGAAAATTTGTACAGCTTACACTCCTACAGCGATTGGAAAGGCTGAACAATATTGATTTATTCTAAAAATAATTTTTATAATTTATTTAGACCTATGTGCCATGTAAAAAAAAATATCCTCTAAATAATTAAAAATTGTGACTCTAAGCTCTAGTTATTCTTCAAGCTAGACACTCACTACCCTCATCATTGTATGATTCAATCCGCACCAACCTAACGCAAAGGCCTAATTAATATGTAAACAAGATAATGGAGGATTCGTTGGAGGCGTCCATGAGTTGGAATTTGTAGAAAAGGGAAAGAAATTTGATTTATTTGAAAAGTGAAATAATACAACAATACTAAGGGAGCTAACAAACTTTATTGCACTCAATCCTTCTTTTTCAATTACCGGCCTTAGGCTTTAGCAGCGACCATTAGCCTAGCTAGGTCTCAATCGGAGTAGGCTAAATGCAACAGCTGATTTAGTTCTTTGGTTCGGTGTTTAATTGTAAACAAACCAATTAAGCCTGAATGAGTAGTGTAAAATTAAACTGTTTGCAAACTTAAATTTCTCTTTCGATGGAGATCCCAATACAATGCGTGTTTGTCCAATGACGTTTGTTGGTTTGCTGTGTCCAACCATCCCCGGATGCCGTTTGACCATGAACTCAAGTGATAGGTTATCAGGTGTAGTGACGTCACGTGTAGTGACGTGTGGTCTGGGTAAACGGAAAAAAAGTCACAGGAAAAAAAAAAAACAGAAAAAAAGTCACAGTTTTTGCTAGGAAAAAAAGTCACAGAAAAAAAGTCACAGTGGAAAAATTTTATCGGAAAAAAAGTCACAGAAATAAAGTCACAGAAAAAAAGTCACAAAAATCTTTTTAGAAATATTTTTATTAATTTGTTAAGAATTGTAAAATTTTGTATGTTTATTGTTGTGGGTTGTATTTTTTGATAGCATAAATTATTTATAGACGTTAAAAGCATTATGATTTATAACAATTGTAAGTAAAAATACTCTAAGATAATTTACACAACAATCTCAACTTTTGTTACGTATTTAGTTAAATACGCGGTAGAAAAGTTAATTATAAAAGAAATTTAGGCAAATTTTGCCGTAGGCTATTCCCTGGTCGGCCTCTCCTCAGTAGGCATTGTCCGAACATATTTTGTGTTGTTGACGTTACGCGTCAATGACAGCCTTTGAACCTCGTCGGCTTTCTGTTTTGATCCTAAGTTTTGTTATGTAATGAGCGTGATAAATGTGGGCAGTAAAGGTGGTTGAACTAAACATAACTATTGTTGCCATGAGTTGAGGGCAGCAAGTCAGGTGAACTTACCATTTCACGGTAATTTAATATTGGTATTTAAAAAAAGAAACACGATGAAAACCGTGGACATTGGAGCATTCTATTCAATGCTACTAATCTTAAGTTTAACATAATTACAATCTACATACTTCATAATAAATATTTTTAGATGAATTATAAAAATTCCTATGCGTATACAGCCTACACACATTACATTACATTTAATTAATCCTAAGTTAATTTGCACTTTCTAAATATTTAATACATAAAAGTTTTAACAAATATCATGCAAATATATATTTGTGACTTTTTTTCCTGTGACTTTTTTTCCTGTGACTTTTTTTCCTGTGACTTTTTTTCTGTGTTTTTTTTTTCCTGTTTTTTTTTCCTGTGACTTTTTTTCCTGTGTTTTTTTTTCCTGTGTTTTTTTTCCTGTGTTTTTTTTCCTGTGTTTTTTTTTCCTGTGTTTTTTTTTTTCCTACAATCGTGGTCTGCAGTGACCAGGACAAGTGTAGGACAACTTCTGGTAAAATGGTTGCTTTTACTGTCAATAGATGGTACTATAGATTGTAAATGTGGTTCAATTGAAGTCGTATAACTTGAAAAAAGTTGCATTAGAACCTCATATAGTTAAAACGTTGAGAGAATGTATCGAACCAGAATCTAACACTTTTAATACATTTTTTTTTCTAGATTATTTTCTGCTAGATATGTTTCCCGTCCCCCCCCCCCCCCCGTATGTTGCCATGTGTTTCCCAATATGTTCCCCCATGTTTCCCGATATGTTGCCTGTGTTCCACCATATATTAGATATGTTCCCCTTATGTCGCCTGTGTCCCCCATATGTTCCACCATTTGTTGTTTGTGTTCCCCCATATTTTGCCTGTGTTCCCCATATGTTCCCCATATATTTCCTGTGTTCCCCATATGTTCCCCCATATGTTGCCTATTGCCTATGTTCCCCCATATGTTGCCTATTGCCTATGTTCCCCCATATGTTGCCTATTGCCTAGTTTCCCCCATATGTCGCTTGTATTTCCCCATATGTTCCCCATATGTTGCCTATTGCCTATGTTCCCCATATATTTCCTATGTTCCCCATGTTCCCCCATATGTTGTCTATTGCCTATGTTCCCCCATATGTTGCCTATTGCCTATGTTCCCCCATATGTCGCTTGTATTTCCCCATATGTTCCCCATATGTTGCCTATTGCCTATGTTCCCCCATATATTTCCTATGTTCCCTAATATGTTGATTGGTTTCCCCTACTGTTGACATTTTGTGTATGTTGCCTTATATTATATTTTATCGCACCAATTCCCTTCCCCCTCCCAACCTTTAGATTATTCTAGAACGTATTGATTTTCCCCTAACAATCGCTGGCCAATTTTCTGGTTACTGCGGGTTAACACCGATCATCTTGTTTAAAAGTGTGAAATGTTTTTTTAAAGAAATCGATAGTTTAAAAACCCCGGATAAGCTGTGGTACTCAGTCGCGACGTGAAACAAGCCTAGTCTCGCAGCGCCCGCGAGAACTGCGCGAGATTTCTGAACCTCTACGTCTGGCGGAAGTTTTGAGTGGGTGGGCAGGTCAGTCGGGAGCGACATTTCTTCATAGAGCACGCGCAGTCATAATTGGTTGGATTATCCCGTGTTTTAGTACTCACGGTAAGTGACGTCTTGTGTCGTTGTTACTTAGCCTAGTGGTTGGATACTGCCTAGGTATTGTTTCTTTTCTTACACCATGGGAGTAGAACTTTTAAGAACAATTTTTAAAATCTTACCTATGCCTAGTTTTAACCATGACCTAGGACATGGTTAAACGTGACATATGACTGAACCCACTGGCCTAACCAGTTGACACGTACCGCTTAATTGTGTTGGAGGCGTGGTCGAGTCGGCAAAAAGCTCATGGTTAATAAATTCAAAAAAGTCTCGAGTTCAAACCTACTGGCAGATAAGGCTCGATCCCCTTCAACACTAATAATTAAGAACGAAGAAGAAGTAGAAGATCCACCTATCTGATCCACCTCTATGATCCACCTATATGATCCACCTATATGATCCACCTATATGATCCACATATATGATCCACCTATATGATCCACCGATATGATCCACCTATATGATCCACCGATATAATCCACCTATATGATCCACCTATATGATCCACATAATATGGCCCACCTATATGATCCACCTATATAATCCACCTATATGATCCACCTATATAATCCACCTATATGATCCACATATATGATCCACCGATATGATCCACCGATTTGATCCACCTATATAATCCACATATATAATCCACATATATAATCCACCTAATGATCCACCTACACCCCGGCCACACTCCCTAGTTCAAATGTGTTCTTGTTTTTCTTTTACATAAGATCTTTCTCAAACGTGTCTCATCTTTCTCAAACGTGTCTCATCTTTCTCAAACGTGTCTCATCTTTCTCAAACGTGTCTCATCTTTCTCAAATGTGTCTCAACTTTCTCAAATGTGTCTCATCTTTCTCAAATGTGTCTCAACTTTCTCAAATGTGTCTCTAATTTCTCAAATGTGTCTCAATTTTCTCAAATGGGTCTCATCTTCCTCAAATGGGTCTCATCTTCCTCAAATGTGTCTCTACTTTCTCAAATGTGTCTCAACTTTCTCAAATAGAAGGGTATTTGAAATGTGTTTTCCTACCCGTTAAACGAATACAATAATTTAAAAAAATAGCATTTTGAGCATTGATTGCTGAAATTGATTAGCCGAGTGGGCCAATTCAACAGGCTACATCAAATTCTTTCATCCGTTTATACCCCCCCCCCACCCCCTCCCCCCATACCGAGCTGCCCGTTACCCGTCCTACAGGCCCAGCCATCCTTACTCAACTCCCCGTGGGGCAGGGAGCGGTGACCTTGACATATCGACAGCGTCACAAGTGCTCCACCTCCCGTGAGCGTTGAATAGCCCTCACCCCGACATCATCACGTGCTCACCCCGACATCATCACGTGACGACCGACTCAAGATCCGCTAATCAATGCTGGTGGGCAATTAGAAAACTGGAATTACTCAAGTGCTGGGGGGAGACTCAGAACCGAAACAATTATTTCTCGACATCGGCTATTTAGATTTTCATTTTCACACTATTGTATATTATAAAGTACAGTCGTATTTCGACATACGAGTGCCCCGACATACGAGATTTTGTAGAAAAGAGCTGTCGAGTCAGCTAAAATTTGCTTTGACATACGAGTAAAATTTGTTATACAAGTAAACGGATTAGCGGGTTTAACAATACGTAGAAAAAGAAAACACTGCGAAAAAAGTTGTAATTGATTGAGCATCAAAGCTATATACGACACTTACCTAATTTCCGAAATATTCCGAAAAAGGGGACAAATAGAATGTATGTATATATATATATATATATATATA